CCCCAAATTCAGAGCACCGGGTCCTGGCTGGCGGTTGGAAGTGCTGTTGCAGAGGGCCCAGCTCTGCCTTCGAGCCTCTTTCTGTGGATGTTGAACAACTGCGGGGAGATTAACATCACAGGTGAAATTCAAGAAGTTGGTTGGACTGGTGGTGGCCCATGCCTGTAATCCCAGTACCCTGAGAGGCTGAGGCAGGGGGATTGCAGTGAGGCCCCATTTCAGAAACAAAGGGGATGTAGCTCCCTGCGAAGGCCCTGACCCCAGCCCTTCTCCCCAGAAAAGAAGGTGTATCTCATAGTATGAAGCACTGGTTAAAGACAGGCAAGGGACACGCGTTAGAAAGCAAATGCAAATCCAAATGTCTTCAGAAACAAACTGAATTCTAAATCACAGCACATCCATCTAGTGGAATATTATAAGTGTACTAGAATGGGATAGCCCTCTGTGTAACTATGAAATGAAACACATAAGGTGTGATCGAAAACTAAGGTGAATGCTTAAGTTAAAACAATTACAACAAAAGACGCGTGGCCATTAAACTTGTTCAAAATACTCCCCCTTGCTTTGGACACGTTTATCTCAGCATCACTCATGCCACTTTGGAAGCAGCTCTGGAAGTCCTCTTTCATGACTTCAGTTGTGCTCTCATGGCTGCCTCGACGTCCTGAATCCGTTCAACACATTTGCCCTTTCGTGGTCATCTGGACTTTGGGGAAGAGCCGGAAGTCCCCCGGTGCCAGATCCAGTGGATAAGGTGGATGAGGACGCACCGACATGTTTTTACAAGCCTGCCTTTCCGGTGGAGAGCGCTCAGCAGTGTTCGCTGTGTTTTTAATCACACTTTGTAAGGCTGCTCACAAAAGAGGACTTCAGAACTGCTTCAGAAAGTATCAAGAATCATAAGAGTGCGCAGAGAGGAGGAGTATTTTTGAGAGGGACTAATGGCCATGTGTCTTTTACTATAAAAAACGTTTTAAACTTAAACACCCTTGGGGCCAGGGATTTAGCTCAGGTGTTCCGCTGGATGCCTCACAAGCACCAGGACCTGAGTTTGATCCCTGATACCAAAAAAACAAACAAACAAAAAAAACCCCTGTATTTTGATCATACCCTGTATAATTACATGATAAAAGCAACGAGCAGAATAATATATATGCTATTCCCCCATTTGGGCAAAAACAATATATATTTATACACCCACATATATGGTCACATATACATATTTCTGGGAGGATAAACAAAAACTACAGAAATAAATAGTGAAAAAAATGAAGCCAGGATAGGGAAACGAGGTAGCTAGACAGTGAAATGGAAGAGATTTGTTTTTGACCGTGTATGCCTATTAAAATTGAGTGTACTGTGGGGAATACATTAAGTATTTGGAAGCAAAAAATGTTTTTGCATAAAGAGGGTAAACTTTTCAAAGCCAACTTAAGAAGAGTCCGGGAAGCTAGTCCTAAAGCGGTTCAAAAAATTAAATAAAAACTTTTAAAATATGCCCTCTCCCTCCAGCAGGCCTAGGTAGTTAGTTTTTCAGATAAGTTCTCCCGAAACAGAGAGGAGAGACACCACATGTTATGGGACAGGTGTGATAGACATTTTAGCTAGGGCGGCCAGAGAAGGCCAAGTGATAAGGCAACATCTCATTCCAGGGTATCCAGAAATGAAGATATGTGGAAATTTTAGTCAGAACAGCAAGCCAAGGGCCCTGAGGCAGGAACATTGTAGGAATGTTCTAGAAAGATCAAGGAGGCCATGTTCTCAGAAGGCCAACTGGAGACAAAGTCTGAGACATCTCAGAAGACCAGATCATATAGTACTTTTAAGGCCTGTTTAAGAACTTTGGCTTTAACTGTGAGGAAAAAACAAAGATATAAAAATTTTTGAGCAAAGGAGTAGCATGATTTGCCTTTTCACTTAGAGAGAGAAAAAAAAATTCCTACCTCACAACATATGCCAACATCAATATCAGAGACGATAAAGCCCCAAATGGGGGGGGACTTTGAAATGGTTAGAAGAAAATGAAAGAAGATCATTACGGCCATAAAAAACAAGTCAAGAAAGTAAGTCACAAAGACATAAACTAGAAAAGTTTGACATTAAAAAACGTAAACTTCTGATACAAAAAGAAACAATAAAATGAAAGGATAAACCACAGTTCCAGCTTTAAAAAATCATATGGGTAAACTTCACAAACAATACTGAAAAACAAAATAAATAAGCAAACAAATAGCAAGTCATAGAAAATTATAGGTAGTAAGATTCTCTTTGTGTAAACTTTTAAAATATTTTTTAAGCTGGGTGTGGTGGCGCACGCCTGTAATCCCAGCTCTTGGGAGGCTGAGGCAGGAGGATCCCTGTGAGTTCGAGACCAGCCTGGGCTACATAGTGAATTCCAGGTCAGTCTCAACTACATAGTGAGACCCTGTGTCAAAAAACCAA